GTGTGGTTCGTACGTCTCCTCATGGTTGGTTTGGAATCAGGGTTTTTGGCCAACTCCCCTAGGTGAACTTCCAGTGGTCCACCAACCCGGCTATAGCCCCGGATATCGGCTTTTCGTCCTCTCACCTTGGTGGGAAAACACCTCCACCGCGAGAAGGCAGTGAGTAGGGCTTCCTCAGCAATGGCTATTTGAGACGCTTGGTCCTATGGGGGCATTTCGTGAGGTGCAAAGGCAGGGTGACCAGCCGCAATCCTAGACACCCACCCCCAACCATACTGAGGCCTTGGGAGGCCCCGACGGGCTGTCCCCATCGGTTTTTAAGAATGGAGGTTCAGCCTTGATTTTGGAGTTAATAAAACAGGTTCCAACTGAATGGTGGGAATCGGTGTTCATTACCGATTTACAAGAAGGGTTACAGGGCCTCTTGTGAAAACCACAGATGAATTAGTTTATTTAACATTGCTTCAAAACTTCTCGCCGGGATCATACTCCGTCGATTGTTTGCCGCTCGTGAAGAGTGTACACTTGAGAACCAGGTTGGTTTTAGACCTGGTCGAGGTTGTATCGACCACACCTTCACTCTTCGTCCAATTCTAGAACACAGACTCTTAGTCGACCTGAAAGCGGTTTTCGACTCAGTCGACCGCTCCAAACTTTGGCGTTGCCTTAAGGAAGTGCCCGAGAAGTTAATTTCAATATTACAGTCTCTGTACAATAATAGACGAAGCCGAGTCAGAACTTACGGCATTTATTTACCCGAGTTCATTACAGCTAGTGGTGTTCAACATGGTTGTCCTCTCTCTCCGTTTCTGTTTAGCTTTATAATAGATTTAATTCTTGAAACAACCTTATCTTCGTGCGAGGATAGCGGCATCGATTTACTCCCAGGTGGCAGACTTTCTGATCTAGAGTATGCAGACGACATTGTGCTACTAAGTGACGATCCAGGTAAATTGCTAGCCTTTCTGAATAGTTTGCGTGCTAGTGTAGGCATGTTCAGTATATGTTTTGCACCTTCAAAGTTAAAAATGCTGCTCCAAGACTGGGTTGGTCCAGTCTCTAACCTCACCCTGACTGGGGAAGCTGTAGATAAAGTAGATAAGTTTTGCTATCTGAGCAGCTTTATCTCACCTGGCGGACGCATCACAGATGAAGTGTCGGCGCGCATACAGAAGGCTCGATTGGCATTTGCCATCTTGAGACACCTGTGGCGCCGTGCATACAGAAGGCTCGGTTGGCATTTGCCAACTTGAGACATCTGTGGCGCCGTCGCGACACACAAAAGGCTCGGTTGGCATTTGCCAACTTGAGACATTTGTGGCGCCGTCGCGACATCCGAGCTCGATTGGCATTTGCCAACTTGAGACATCTGTGGCGCCGTCGCGACATCCGGCTGTCTTGTGAAGGGTCGAGTGTATGCTCCAGCAGTTCAGCCAGTCCTGTTCTACGGTGCAGAGACTTGGCCACAAAAGGAACAGAATAAAAATAGATCGTCGGTGTTCGAACACCGCTGTCTGCGTAGCGTTGCACGAGTTTGGTGGGAAAATCAGACAAACTATGTTGAGGTTAGGCGTAGAGTTTTAGGTAATCGCGGTCGTCCACTGGTAGTCGACCTCGATGGATTACGCTGGTTGGGACATGTGCTACGCATGTCACCAGATAGGTTGCCACGGCGAACGATGTTTGCCGAGGCAGGTAGCGGTTTGAAAAAAATGAAGGCGGTCAAATTAAGCCCTTCATGAGGGTATGAAAATCCTGACTAGGAGACTGGCTCACATAGGCCCTGTTAGGCTCCCTGGATAGGGATCCCGAGATCATTGTCACCGATGGTTAGAGACACAGCGATTCGGCTGGGTAACGTAGACAGTAGTGCTCATGCATCTACTCATTACTCTTGTAACTTCACGCTATGTAAATGCTTTATCTTCCGCTTGAATTTGCTCTTAACTTTCTAATCATCATTCCGGTGTTTTATCCAAATGGGCAACCAAAACCTGCGTACGAAAGTGTATGGTTAATGGTTGTAAGAACTTAACTGGACCTCGATATCTCCTCTGTATTCATCAGTTCTTTTGATTAGAACACAGAGTGCGAACAAGCTCGTTCTCAATGCATCTTAATCATCCCATTACAAGACAATACGTAATAATAGATATAGACATGGATTCATGAAGGAAACAGGGAAGTGCCAATAAAATGTTCTACAGTTTGCACCGAGGATTGATCTCTACTGGGATGTGGGCAACCTCAAATTTATCAAAAGCCGATTGTCATTTT